TTAAAACAAACTCTGATCTGTTCACTTTTTGCCAGATTCATTCGTTTGGTTTATCCGTCAGTTTTACAGCCTTTTTATTCTTTGGCATTATATAGCACGGCGGGTGTGGCCCTGCGTTTTTCCGCTTGTCGGGAAGGCCCGAGAAGTAAGGGATCACGTCTCTATCTCCAGTCTATCTGTCCACCTGTTAAAATCCTTCTCCTGCCCCCTGTTAAAGTCTGTCTCCGGTCAATCTGTCCACGTCTTAAAGTCTGTCTCCAGTCAATCTGTCCAAGTCTTAAAGTCTGTCTCCAGTCTATCTGTCCATTTGTTTAAGTTTGTCTCCAGTCTATCTGTCTACCTGTTAAAGCCTGGCCCCAGTCTATCTGTCCAACTGTTGAAGTCTGTCTCCAGTCTCTCTGTCCATTTGTTTAAGTTTGTCTCCAGTCTATCTGTCTACCTGTTAAAGCCTATCTCCAGTCTGACCATCTACCTGTTGAAGTCGTCTCCATTCTGACCGTCTACTTGTTCAAATCTGTCTCCAGTCTATCTGTCTACCTGTTAAAGTCTCTATCCTGTCTCTCTTTCCACTTGTTAAAGTTCGTCTCCAGTCTATCTGTCCACCTGTAAAAGTCTGTCTGTCCACCTGTAAAAGTCTGTCTGTCCACCTGTAAAAGTCTGTCTTTCTACCTGTTAAAGTCTCTCTCTAGTCTTTCTGTCCACCTGTTTAAGTCTGTCTCCAGTCTGTCTGTCCACTTGTTAAAGTTTGTCTGCCCACCTGTTAAAGCCTGTCTCCAGTCTATCTGTCCACCTGTTAAAGTCTATTTCCAGCCTATCTGTCCACCTGTTTAAGTCGATATTTTTGAATCATAATGATAAGAATTTGGAGACATATTGCTTCTTAAACGGACTTGGTAGCTTTTAATCCCTGTAGGGTTTATAACATATAGTGAATTTTATCCTGACCTTTAACCTCAGTCCTAGTAATATTTTGTAATATTGAAATTATTGATCTTAAGAGGTATGACTTTTAAAATATTAAGCATATATTTACACCGTCTGGAATTGAGACCTAGCTCGAAAGGTTGTTCTTCTGCATGCAAGCAAATATACACTGCAGTTCGAAATAAAACTTCTAGCATCAAAATGTGATCAAAAGAAAATATTCTGTTTGTCGATGTCTCCTTAATTTGTAGTTATAGAAAAAAAGCACATTAAGTATTCATTCGTCATCGTTTTAATGAAATAAGAATCCGCTGATACCTCTATTTATTATATCATTATAGCTTTCTAATCCATGTTTTCAACAAGACAGATCATCGAGATCATTTGCGAAAACCAAGAATCGGTAAAATTATTGGTTTAACTTTGCTTTTCATGTATCATTAATTCCTTGGTCTTTTCTTAATGAATATTGATTAAGTTGTACTCACTGAAATTGCTAGCGCTGTTCAAGTTCATTATCATAGGTCACACCTAGTTCTATTGGATTCCTACAATTCAACGTTGTCGTCTTTCCTCATCAAGTTTTTTTTTATTATTAAACATTAAAATTCCTATGGAATTAGGACACCTTTAAATTATTCCACTTCACAGTGAATTCTTAAAGATTCAAGCACACAATGCACTTGCCTTCTGCTTTGAAAAAATATGTACCATTGTGATGGTACATATTGTTGTTCTGTACATATTGTCGTCAACGTCAATATATACATACCTCTACGAAAGCCCAGAAGGCTTTATACCTCACTGCACATTCGTCGTCCATCGGTACATATTGTCGTCAGCGTCAATATATACATACCTCACTGAACATTTGTCGTCCATCGGTACATACTGTCGGGCAGATAAAATGTGCCGAAACGAGCCTTTGCTTCCTCCTGCATAATGGATGAAAATATGTACAGTTTTGCATCGGCACATTCTGTCGTCGGCGACAATATGGACTGTGAACATTTGCACTTTTTGTCGCCGATAGGTCGTTTGGGGGAATATTTTACTAAAGTCGTGAAGAGAGAAAGACAGGGATTCACACACACACACACACACACACACAGAGAGAGAGAGAGAGAGAGAGAGAGAGAGAGAGAGAGAGAGAGAGAGAGAGAGAGAGAGAGAGTCTTTTGCAGATAGATAAGTTAACTAGTTGTATTATTTATTTAGCATTTTTTCGCAATGCAGATTTTAAGGGTGATGCCACTTTTTCTACAGGCAAAAGGGACATTTTTTGAACGTCGAATAATGACCGGGGGTCATTTTTCGACGCCGAAAAATAATTCCCGGTCATTATTCTACGCGGGTAATTATTCGTCTTTACAACACGCCCTCTTTCAAGTGGAGATAAATAACAATTGGTAAAAATCTAGAGGCAACTTTTAAAGAACCACTGTTTTGGATAAACATATATAACCATTATTTATTCGGAAGAATTCATTTCTTATTGTTGATTAATGCATAAAATTCAGTATTTTAAAATTTAAAAACTTAAATCTGTACATGTCTGCACGATGCAACGAAAACACAATCTACCACTTGCGTATATACTGGTAGCTCGAAAACAAAATCAATAGAAATTTGAAATTTTTAGAAAGTGGCAAATTAATTAATTAGGATTGATGGAAAAACATTTTTGGAGAGGCATGATGCTAGAATTCTAGCAGTCGACTCCCACCACATAACACATTTTACAATTTGGGAAAAAGTTTCAAATTAGCCTGCTGTTGACTGGCTAGTTTAGATTCTCCTAAGGCATACTCCATACAGTGTGAAATCCCATACGTGCATATGCATTAATAAGCTAAGGGATTGAGTGTAAAATTAAAAGAAAACCACAATGAAGCATTTAGTTAGAGATGTTATTCTTTTTAAGATAAATGATAAAAAATGGTTTGAGAAGTTTAGAATTAAGAAGGAGACTGGTCTTTTTCGTCTATAAAAGGCTTACTAGAAAGCTTTCTCCATCAAAAAAACCATAGATGAACCATTTAGCACACATTATTTGCTTTTGCATATGAGTAAACAGATTTGCACCTGAATATTAATAGTTAGTGTCGTAAATTATAGGATCGACATGCACAAAGCCGTTTTGGAGACTTTTACCTATACTTCGACTTGTTATTAGCTCTCTGTCCATGAGAATAGTTTGCGGATTTCTTTTGAATAAAACTGGATTTCGATTTTCATTTATCTTTAGTGCTTAATCCAGTCCAATGATACTCTATAGAGAAGAAGTGAAATAGTATGAAGAGCTTTATATAGGCGTATAGCCAGGGAGATAATACTAATAGATTCCAAATTTAAAAAAAACCCCGCTGATTGATGATTGATTCAATCATTTTTTATTTAAACGTAATTGGACACACAAGTTGTACCATCTTAGACTGTTCTCTTCAACATAAAGAAAATGAGTTTTAAGACACATAATGTACAAAAACAAAGAAACAAACATGCAAACAACCAAACAAAGAAGCAAAAAAAAAAAACAAAACAAAACAAAAAACAAAAAACAAACAAACAAAAAGAAAACCAAATGTAAACTATTAAAGTACAGGGAAACAAAGAAATAACAGGTAAAAGAGTATAAAGAAAGGGGGTTAGAATTGAGAAATGGTTACATTGGTCATTGAAATACACGTCTGTTGTACATAGAATCAACAATATTATTTTGATATTTCACATTTGGGTCCGTAAACAAGATTATCTCAAGGTCTTAGTATTCGTACTTTTTTTCTCATGGTGTAAAATAAATACTTTATCATTATTCTTACAATAAAGAAAATAACAAGATGTGTTTGTGAAACACTGATGACCCCGTATCTGGCAAAGGTAAAAATTTCTCAAATTCAAGTTATACTCCAAGGTCAAGGTATAGAGATCAAAATTGTTGGTACCAAAAGAAAGGTCTTGTCACAAGGAATACACCTGTGAAATATGAAAGCCCTAGCATCAACCGTGCAAATGTTTATTTTTTCAAAATTAGGTTAAACTCCAAGGTCAAGGATAAAAGGTCAAAGCTGTTGGTACATAACGGAAGGTCTTGTCACAAGAAATATACAGGTGAAATATGATGCCATAGCACCAACCGTTCAAAAGTTATCGCCAAGGTTAAAGTTTTTCAAAAGAAGGTCAAACTCCAAGTTCAAGGTCAAAGGGTCAAAATTGTAGGTACACAGGGGAAATATTTGGATACACCTTTGAAAATGAAATCACTAGGAACAACCATTTAAAAGTAATGGCCAAGTATCATGGACTATAGTCTGAAGACTAAGAATTGTGATTTATTTAAGTGAGGGATAATCATAATTTTTTCGGGATTATAAGTAATACCGGTCACCGTTAGTCAAAAACTTAAGAATATAAGGAAAATCTGTTTAAAATCATTTTAGTTGTTGAGAAAACTTGCAAAGAATTTGATGAAGATATAATCAATACTGTCAAATTGGTAACCGTGTGAAAGTCGTTTTGCCACCACTGTGCTTTAAAAAAGAGAAAATCGAAATTGTCTAGCAAATACTTATCCATATTCTATTTAAATGCTTTTCTTTGAATTTCGCACTAAAGCGTTTACTTTTGCCTTCAACCATTCAAACATTTTGTATTTAAACTTGAACAATAGTGAACCCAAAAATATCTGCATTTATTGAATTCAATAATGACAGAGCAAATTATTCCTGGGATAGAAGAGGTACACGGTCTGGGGGTGGAATGCTTGTACTCGGGGTCAATACTTAGTGGTGGTGCTTGCTCTAGATCTCCGGGATTCCTCTGTAAAAATAGCAAAGGTTACATGAGAATAGGAGGAGGATCGCCTTCACCTGATATCGTGCAGTATACCATATAGATTCCTATTGTCTTGTGTGAGAAGAGCAAATAATTCAAACATTACCTCAACAATGAAATATCGGACAGTGGGGTCTTGAGAAGATACAATCGTTAGTGTCGCAGATTTTTTTTTCTCCCTCTTACTCTTTTCTCTGAGAAGCGAGCGGGTGATCCTCAACATATGGTGCAAGCCCCCGAGATAACTCGTTATACAAGGATAAATAAATCGAGGGATATCGAGACCACTCACGATTTGTCTGTCTTCTAATAAACGATGGAATATTCTCAAGGACTTCCAAGCATCCAGGATTGATAGAATTAGCGCCGAGTCCGAGTTAGCTGTGATGGTGAATTAATTCTGTCGAGAATATAGCATTTCTTCCAAGTAAGTTACGGAAATTATCTTTCGTTTCATTATATCATTCATTCTTGATTTTTTTGTTCGAATTTTAAAATCACCTACAGTGGTGTGAAATATTTCAACATGAATTTGTCATCAGAAGCTTTGCAAACATTGGTTAATATCATTTTCTGCCATTTGAATTACTGATTTTTGCAAGATTTTCATAAAAGTAATGTTCTATACAACTTGTATCCCTATGCAAGCCTATATACTGCAGTAGCAATGAATATATTTGTCGACTAGTAGAGTGTATAGGATGTCGGTAAATTTCACATTTATCTGTTTTCATTTCCGTCATAAAGAGAATACGACAAAACTCAAAATTACTGTACATCTAATTAATGAGATATAAACATGTACAGCTCTGTATATCTTTAGTTGTTTATAAGGACCCACGGTTATGTTACATCACATGGAGGCATTTTTGTTCTCACTCCAGGCAGCGCAAAATACAGCATTATCATTTACCGATTTGTTTGATTATAACGTATAAAGCAAACGCAAAATACACTTTTATCATTTACTCTGTACATTGTATCTTGTAATTTTGGTGTTTAAACAGTCTGTGCTGCTCTTTTGCATTTTTTTCTTACCTTCTCGATATACCCCGTAGAGTACTCAGGATGGTAGGTCACTTAGTAAACGATATCAACTATATAATAGGCATCAAAAGAAAAATAAATATCTAGAGGAGGAATAAGCATTTAAAATGACTAGTCGTGTTAAATGCGTGACCTTGAATTTTTTATCAAAAGAAAATCTTTTATTTATTTTAAATCAAGACATCCGCACTTTGAAAAATTATTTTCCTAAGTAAAAATAAATTGTTTGAAATAAATCAAGCAAAGACTTGTGGTCGATTGTTGTAACAAATGAATTTGTCTACCAAATCCGTACCTTAAAATCTTACCTAGAAACGAGCAATCGTTGTAAGTAGGAAGACCCCGGAAGATTTAACACATGTTTTATTAAACCCATTTCTTTGTTCTGGCCTTTCGACTGAAAGAGCTTTGTAAATCTAGTTCTATTTTCAGTCAGTGGAGTGAATGTTTTTGTCGACATGGGGGTAATATTAGAAGACTAGCGTGATTTACACCGAAATAAATATATACGTAATTGCTCATAACATATACCATGTACTTTTAAATGTCTCCCTTGTGTTGATTTTGTCTTTTTTGTTAGTTATCTATGGTTTGTCCATGTCTTGAGTCTTATATTACCTTTGCAGCACGATATGATTTTCTTGGTATGATTGTTTGATCTTATTCAGGCAGCTGCAGAAATAGTGTAATGCAGAGTATTAACTTCTACACGCTAATGACAAAATGTCAGAATTTAATCCCAGCCCTTAATCATAGCCAGCATCTAGATGTTGTCATCCCGCACTCAGAGATTTCATAACGTCCACAGTCGATATCATGATTTAACCAATGAGTTTTTAACATTTGATAAAAAATGTAATGTTTTTATCTGTAAAAAAATGTTCTAGCTCAAAAGTCATGGAAAATATACAAAAAGGAATACCCTTCGCAGAATCAGCAGCAATTCCTGTTAAGTTTTGAAATAATTATTAATTAAAAATTACCATGGGATTTATCTCCTTGCAGCAAAGTTGAAGGAGATAAAGTAACGCGATTGAGTGTGTGTTCAGGCCCGCAGAATGCGGGTGGGGATTTCGTCCTTGTTATAGTTTTAATGTGTACATTTTCATTTAAATGCTGGTTGCCCCTCCCACACACACTTTTTGTTGCTGTGAGGTCTAGTACTGGTTAATTCCAGCGTTTGGAAAAAAAATACTTATATAATTAAAAGTTAGAGAAAAGCCTATATTACATCCCCCCTCTCATGAAATTGTATTTGGAGTTTGGACAGTTTACGTACGTCTTGTCAGATTTTTTAAAGGGAGGTTATCCCCTCTAAAACCGTTGCTAGCCTATTGTTAGTGAGTGAGTGATTGCGTGTGTGTGTATAAACGAAAAACGATGTGCTCTTTTGCAAGGGAATGCTCCACTTTGCGGTAACCTTGTAGGTCAGTTTTTCACTGATAAATATGACAAGAAAAGTCTCATATACCTAGTACTGTAAACGTAATGTTTAACAGAAAAAAAACATCCTAAAGTTTATTGATGAGACATACATGTATCGAATACTGCAATGCATTCATACACGTGTATATATGTATGTTTAAGCATTTCCCTTACCAAAATAATACGATAGTAAACTATAGTGATAATTTTGACACGTTGAATACTATAGTTAACTATAGTGATAACTTAAAAACACTTTGATTTACTATAGTTAGCTACAGTAAACTATAGTAAACTATAGTTTACTATAGTATTTTTTGTTAGGATTGAAAACGTTTAATGGTGCTTGCTTTATAAAGCTTAATCTGAGGTATGTCTATCTATCTGTTCATTTAGATAAATAACCGGTTGTTTGTCTGTTTGAACTTTCATAACAACAACGGGTACAAGTTTCTGCATGTAAAGTCCTTGTTGCCACAATTTGAGCTCAATGCCGATTCAATTTTTATGAAAATAGCAGTACTTCTGATTTTGCAGACTTTAAATTAATATATCACCTTTGTATGTAGTCTTAAGGAAGTACAGAAGTTATTCTCTACCTTAGTAGTCCACTATGTAGTTTTTAATTGTATACTTTGTATTGTTATACTATATAGGAACATATTTTAATTCATATGTTCCTTGTATCAAAATCATAGTCTAAAAGGAGAAGTGTATGCCCTCGCAAAAAAAATTCTAAATGACATAAACCTCTGAGCATGGTTTGATATAAAACAGTTGGCACCACATAGGTGTTTAAAAGAAACCCACTAAAACTACTTTTTAAAAATGCATTACTGTCATCCAATACGACAATTCTTCTCTTAGATGTTTGAAATTTGACTAAATATTTCTCTTAAAAAGAAGAAAAAACACAAGTCACGAATTCACAAATACACAGTGTAGATTTTAATTGAATTTATAGAAATTTGACTTCAGTTTGTGAAATTTTTAAAGTTTTATGATTCAGGGTTTACAGCTGAATTCAACCTATATTTTCATATCTTAGTCCAATGAATGTTTTCATTCATGCTGTATTTACATTATATGTTCCCAACCAACGGCTTGTTAGTATGTGTCACTGAATGCAACACAGATCGTTATTCTTTAAGTATAGGATTGACGTAAGCACATCGATACAAATTGTTCCTCAAATCAGTCCAAGAATGAAAAATAACTTTTGAATTACTTGCTGTTGAGTCAATAAAAATATTTATGCATTTAGAAAAAAATCTTTAATTTAAAATACTGCCAAGCTTATTTTTAATGTTTAAATGTATAGTTTCTAAAGGTTGTAAAAACAAACAAAAGTAAAAAACGAATTTCCATATTATTAATCTAATCGTTCGGATTCGGTGGTGTTCATTTGATTTGATGAATATACATGTACATTCATAAAATATACTGTTATATCAGTCAGTTGAGGTGTTTGCTTATAATCATTTGACACCTTAGCAAGCAAAACCCATTGCAAGACTATCTAACAAATAATTTAAATCTCATTACTAAGAAAATTTTGAATTATGAAACTACCCAAACATCGTGCATTTTAAATAGCCATTTTATAGAAGATTGGGGTTTTAGACCCCACCTTTAAAAAATCGCTTCTTATAAATTACCTAATTGTTAATTACATGGAATATTTTCTCAGTCGCGAAAATTAATATTCGCGAATTTATTTGAAAGTGACGAATTGCGCATAAAATTTGCAAAGTTGACATGATGTGGGAGGATTCAAACTTTGCACTATCATGGTATATCAGAAAATGAACTATGTATGAAGGATGTATACTGAAGAAAAGTGAAGTAAACTCTTAACCAACATATACACAAGACATCTGGAATAAGGAAATGAAAAAATACACGAAAAAATCCATGACCTGGCTACCTGGTTTAGACAAATATTTCTGAAAGTCAAATTATCGGGCCTAGTTAATGCTCATCTTAGCTATCTGTTTAATAATAATTTCTACCTTTACTGATCAATCTGATTTCAAAGAAGCCGATGATAAATAAAATGCATTATTGCCTATAAATTATGGTAAAGTGTACCTTTCCAAATTTTGCTTTGAATCTGCTGTATATAGAAATCTTTTTGTCAAATATTCCATGTGGGAAATCAAACAAATGCTCAAATGCATTGTCTATTTAAATTTATGAATCACCATAAGTGATGATATCTTATATCTTAATTGAAAAAAGAAATGAATACCGCAGTAAATAAAATCAATTATATCTATCAATAGCGAGGGGTAAATTAGGGGTCACTATTTTTATAGAAAAAAGTTTATTAGATGTCAGTAATTAATCGTCGTAGTTTGTCGACACAATGAAAAGTTTGACACTTCATTTATTGCCAATAAACAATTCAGATTTTAGGGCCCACCCGTCATTTCCTTCAAGGCCAGGTAGAAATATGAGCTACAATCAAACAGAAGGAATCCGGTAAGACCCTTAAATCCCGATTTATTACCTCGGAACAAGGTTGTAATTGGCTTGCTAGCCTAAATATAGAGAGGAATTATTTACAAACATTGCAGTCATTTACCATCCAGTAACTCAGATTGAAATTCAAACAATTTTACGGCAGATGTCAATTTCGCATAGTGAATTTAAACGCTGTATCAGATTGACTGCAAGTTTGATAGTTTCCATTCAAATGTTTCTTTTCACCCTCAATCCAAATTATATCTAAGTAATATGTAATTAGGAAGCATTAACTCGTCAAGACGTCTATATAAAATGAGAAACAAAGCAAAATATATTTTAAGAAATCAATGAAAAATTAAATAGCAAAAGGAGAAGGAAAAAAATGCAAGGAGTAAAAATCAGTTTTAAATGCTGAAATTTGGGACAACCTGTGACAAATGGAGAATCTGGCCAAAAAAGTTTACATACCAGAAGATGCAAAGCACA